TACGAATACGACAATTCACAAAATGTAAGTCTTGGGGATTGTTTGTAGTGACTGTTTGCAGAGCTATTTAGTCTCTCTTTCTAATGACCGATAAAACGAAGCTAATAGGTTAACGCTTAGTTCGAGAGTTAGTAGAGAAGTTAGTTAGTAAATTTTAAATTGTATAATTTTGCTTATATAACATTCACACACACACACACACACAAACACATTGGTTAATGCTATACCTAGGTTTTTTTAATATTATTATTACATATATCATTTTTATTTAATATTTTTCATTTATTGTTGCTTTAAAGTACATGTATCAAGCCACTACCTATACTATTCCTACACCAACTGAAACATAACACCACCACAGGGTAGGTAGTGTTTTTCCCTGTTTTCAACCGACTAAAAAAACGGAGGACGATTACCAATTTGACGCGTTTATTTTTTATATGTATGATCCAGGAACCTGAAAAAAAGACGGACGTAACATAATTGTGAGTGAAGCATGCCAATGGCCGCCCGCTTACCGCGTGTGCGTGATTTGGGGGTTGTCGGATAAATCATCAATTTCCCTACTTTTTAAGTCTCGCCAACTAAAACATTGTAAACATTATATAATCAAATATATATTATAATAAAGGGATATTTACCACGTGTTTAACTCGTTGTAAACTTCCAATATTTCAAGAATTTAAACGGTTGCACTGCAGAAACATGATGTTGGCCTATCAAATTCATTCTTATGAACACAGAGATAGAAAAGAAAACGCTTGTTACGTATAAAGAAATTTATTGTTTACATATAAATATAATTGTCTTAATAATAAGTATGTGGTTAATAATATACATTTATAATAATGAAACAATCTGTGCCATCGTCGTCTTTTCGTCATCATCTTATTGGGAACTTGATATTAAAATAAATAAATATAGGAACTACCACAAAAGCTATTGAGTGCAGTTTCGAATAACTAAAGACCCCGGTAATCATAAAAAGGAGACAAGAGTAATTTTATATGAATAATATGGGTTCTGTTCTTTTCCATTTGGAAACCTTCAAAAGTTAAGAAATCTTGTATTACTGAGTCACAAATGCATGAAATATAAATTTCCCCACTTTTAGGAAACTTTTCCCGTAAAAAAGTAGCCACACAATTATAGTTTTAGTTTAGAATTTTCATCACATTAAATAAAATATAATTTAGAAAAATTATCACGATTCGTCATTACTTACGCATGGTAGGTGATTCCTTGTAGCTTTTTAAGTTTACCCTTGTAGATTTCACATGATTTCATCACACAAGTCGGCATTGTTTTAATATTTTGTAGGAGCAATTGAACATGTCACTGCTGCTGTCACGCGAGGTCAAATGGCAACCGGTTGTTGGACCTGCTGCATTAGTGACAGTTCGGGTAGTGTACAACAAATCAAATTGTAGGACCTTGCATGCTTCAAACCATTTTAGTTTGATGTTACGTCCGTCTTTTTTTCAGGTCCGTGGTATGATCATGCATAACTTCTTATACAGTAGTCCGATTTTGATTTTGTTTTTCCTGTCTGCTGCCTGGTCCGCATGGAATTTATTCTAGTAAAATATTTCTTTAGGTTTAATGCCATCATGTGGAGTATCGTTATATAGGTCCTTTAAAACGACTTAAGGGTTGCTAAGACTATTTTTCGATTTAGGGATACGTTTGTAAAATATTAAACCTTAAATGATTTTTTTTGTTTGAGTAGGGAGGTTGGGCCTTGACTCATCACGTAGGCCCAATGCGGATTGGTGAGTGCTAACTACTGCAGATGCAGCCGGGACTAGGGTTACTATTTAGAATTTTGAAAAGTCCGGACATTTCGATAAAAGTCCGAACATTTTAGTCACAAAATGCAAACATCACCCACTTAGTTAGTGATATTATACGAGTGGTAGCAGACGCTCGGATCGCTGAATGAGAACTTAATAAAGATTTTTTGACTTATTTGATATAACTTAATGAGTAGTTTTACTAATATTCCATCTTATTTAAATAAACCGGACAAATTTAAAACCGGACAGAAGGCAAAAAGTCCGGACAAATCCGGACGGATGGTAACCCTAGCCGGGACCAACTGCTTAATGTGCCTTCCGAAGCACGGAGGAGCTTGATATAATAAGTTTTTGGTCACAATTCCAAATAACAGACCATTGCGAAAGTTCTTCAATTTCCATGATCGCAGGTCGAATGCGCGCTATGCACCTGCGACGTTTAGCTTCTCACCTTTACAATATCTATATCAAATTATAGGTAACTAGCAAACCAGTGAACCAAATGTTCACCAAAAAAAATGTATTTAATTAATTGAGAACTTCGGCGATTTTGTGTGGTTTCGTTTGAAATAGAAATCACGTGATTTCTCGAAAACCGGAAGTGCTACGTTACTCACATCCGGTTTGTAGTCTTATCAGACTATTCTTAACTTATAACTTAAGCATTCTCTATATCTATCTCTTACGGTTTGGCCGCTGAAACAGCACCACGGACGGACGGACTTGTCTAATAGATAAGAGATGATTTAGTAATACAAATGTTATAGACAGCCCGACGATTTTTAATATAAGTGTGGTAATAAAAATGTTAATAATCTGTGATAGAAAGTGTTGGAAATTACGATTCGGGGTAACATAGTGCCTTAACGATTTAATTATTATCTGCCACTCCCGCTCCAGCATCAGACTTTTAGTGTAAGTGACACCACAGGGCTGGTCACAAATATAAATATTTCTGTGGAGCTGGTTAAAGTTATAATTTAATTTTGCAAAAGCTGCGTTGCCTCATCTACTTAAATTTGACTATTGTTAAAATTCTAGAGAAAATATAATCATTTGTCAACATTTTAAATATGTACTATATTTTCATCGTGACTTTATATATATATTCAAATTTAACTATCGATGAAAAATCACAGCTTTTGATTTTAATATGATATGACAGTTAACGTTAAAGTAAGCTGGTGCAACTCACGCTTAAAGAATATGATTCGACTTACACGTTTAGAATTTTTATTTTGCCAAGTCATAATACTTACTCTTAAATTGTGAAACACCAAAACTCCTTTATCTCTATAGTATAATCTATTCTGCTCACTCCATTGAAGTACAGTTAAAGATTGAGAGGGACAGATAAGTTTACCCAAAAACTAGCTTTGGCCGTAACAGGTAGCAGGACACATTTGGTAATACTTACGGACTACTTGGAGATGTCGTTTAGTTTATATTATTATTAATAGATTGTTCACTGCTTTGGAATTTTCTTAGTACACTAAGTAAACATACAGTAAATTTGCTGAATCTCGATTCATTTAAAACTAGCTTTATCCCATAGAAAGATTTCAAAACTTCAATATGTATTTGATATTATTGTATAGGTTAAATCTAGGTTAAGTTTAATTAAATTAAGATTTAGCAAAATTTCCACAATTGAACCTAAGACCCCAAGGCTTAATCATGTTAAACATATCATTCCAGCTTTATAAATTGTTTTAAGTTAAATAAAGGCAGAACGAGGCTTTTTTTAAACATGATTAGTTTCAAATTTGGTGCAAGTGAGCCTTGGGCCGCGTTGTTTTATCCATAGTTAAATTTGAATATAGTTTAAATAGTAGAGAGAAAAATAACCCTTTTCCAAACTCACCAACATTCAGCACATTTACTATATATTTGACGTAACAATAACTATACTCAAATTTAACTATAGATAAAACAATGAGGCCCAAGGCTCACTTGCACCAAAGTTCTGAATTCAAATTTGAAGCTAACCATGTTAAAATAAGCCTCGTTCTATCTATATTTGAGTAATCTCTTAGACAAAGGAATCCATAAGCAATAATTTCGGTCTAATGTTAAAAGCTTTGCTGTTTGTGTAATAACAACAGGATTACGTAACTACTAAAATTACATAGAATAATAGACTTGTGGGATCCCGCGACTTCATCTGCATGAAAAAATGGTATCCATTTAAATTTTCTCCACTTCTTTTTGACTTTAGAACCAAAAGCATAGCCTTACTTATCAATCTTTAAGATTCACAATCGCTTCAGCTGTTCAAATGTGAAAAAATAACAAACAAACAGATTGATTCTTAAAAGCTATTGTCTGTCATCTTTTGGTTACATTTTATTTATTTTTATTATGTTACTGTATCATAAGTAATAATACCAATGTTTCATATATAATTGGGATTATTACTAAGGACATCCTTTTAATATGTGAAGTTTGAAAGTTTGTTGTTTGATCATACAAAAACAGCTGAACGGATTTGTATGAAAGGCACACATATAGTTTATTACCTGGTTTGAGACATAGGATACGTTTTATCGTTTAAAAAACTAAAGTAAGTGAGGACGAACTCGCAGTCGGAAGCTAGTAGTTGGGAAAAAAATAGAAAGCCAGCCTAACCTTCTAGGTATATTTTTGGCCACGCCTAGCCTAAAACCATACCAAGAAGTATCTTGCTCGATCGTTAAATCTGGGTTGTCATATTTTGATTTAAATATATTATTCAACATTTATGGTGTAGCGTATGAAATTCATTCCCTGGACTGTTTGGTAACAGTATCTGCTTTCATAAATATGCAAATCTGGTGAGCTTCGGCGAATAAAATAAATTATGATTGAGTATTTTAATGTTGTTGAAAATTATGAGAATGACTGAACTTCATTGTTATGAAGGGCTCTGCCTTTTAATGTTATGGTTACGTTAATATATTCAAGAAACATTTCAGTTATTCAATGCTGATGGTTAATGAATAATAATTTTCTTATAAAAAATATTTTCTCTATATTACTTTATCAAAAAAAAAAATATATAATATCAATGACCAATATTATCTACAGATTTATCTTTATCATCACTTACTTTATTGTTTCAGAGAATTTAAGAAATAATACATATTCAAGTTTATAAATCATCATCACTTTATTTTTATTTGTATAAATAACGTAATATTACTATAATTAATATTCTATGATCACGTATTTTTTTCTATTTACAATACTCATATGCTACAGCAGTCTTTAAAATTTTATTACATAATCTACTATACACAGGATAACGAACAGGCAATAATAGTTTAGTTACATACATAGATTTGGTATAGCGCTTACGGACTATTACATTACAGTATGTACAAGCATTCTAAAATCTACTTATTTACAGTGTGACTGGAAGATGGACGAAAGACGCCCTTTAGACTAGGTAAGCTTGCACGGCGTTGCCTGTGTCAACTAAGGGAGGCGGGGGAGGCCATTGGCGCATATCCCTCCGCCGCCCGGGTGCCATACCATGCTCCAAAGAGGAATAATCAGAATCTATAGAAGAGTAAATATGATCGGAAATTGGCCTGCCGTCTGGACCATACACCACTCCTTGCGTCTGACGCACGGCCGCAGGCGACTGCCTCACTTCACTATTTTCTGGAGGAGCACTCGCTCCTTGTTCACCCATCGCGGGCGACTTATTAGGATAATAGTATGGCATAGTTCGATTATATTGATCCACATTAGGCACAGATGAATCTAAAGTATATGTATTTATATTTTTCCTATAATTATGACTCCGACCTTTGTGGGACGAACGCGAGTCCGGCATCATATACCGAAGGTTCTCCCAAAACCTTTTTTGATTCCATCTCAGTCGTGACCCTGTTTTAAGATAAGGTCGCATGTCCGGATCACACATAGCATCTGGTACAGTACAATCCTCAATGAAAATTAATTTATAAATAGACCCTTTGAGAGCTTCGTGCAGCCCCTGACGAAATTCGTATAGAGACCATTCAGTTTGCATAAAATTCCTTGTCAGGACTATTATTATTCGTTTTGAGGCCTCTGCGGCTTCAACAACTGGTGGTGCACATTGCATATATTGAGCACCGTGATGTGGAATGTCTCTATAATGAAGGCAAAGATGGTAAGATTGGTTACCTTCCTCTAATTTTGAAGCTAAGGACTGCACGACAAATTCTTCATCTTTAGGACTGTAACACACATATGCGTCATATAACTTCTCGCTTTCTTCAAAAGTTCCCGGGAACGAAAATACCCTGATCCCACAGTTCGTATAAAGCCATACTCTTAACGTATCTCTAAAGAGAAACAGTATGACGAGCGCCAATAAAATTAACATAAAACCGGTGAGAGTAGACACCATCATGGGAACATAGTTCGATACCAACATATTTCCAATGACGGAATTATCAGCGTAATAATCGCTGCAGGCTGTGCCATTCAAATTAAGCTCTTTTTTCTGTGGCGGCTTGGCTTCTCCGTTCCAACACCAGACATCAGTTATATCGACAATTTTTTGCGCATTCTCTGCCAAGTATGCAGTTAATTCTTGCAGGTAACGACATTTACAAGACCACAAATTATTCCCGAGTGATAAAGCTCTTAAACTGGGGTTATTGTTGAACGTCCATACTCCGAAATCAACTAATCTATTTCCGTCTAAGTGTAACAGTTCTAACGATTTTAATGTAAGAAATGATATGTTCGCGATATGACTTATGAGATTATTTTGTAAAAATAGTTCCTTTAAATTGCTAAGTTGTTGAAATTCATAGCCGTTCAACTCTTTTAATTTATTATTCCCAAGATGAAGAATTTGTAAAGCGTTTAGTCCGGCGAAAGTTCGGTTTTGTATACTGTCTACATTACTGTTATTAACGTACAATGATCTCATTTTTTGCCTACCGATAAAAACATGGTTTTGAAGTTCTTTGATATTATTACCATCTAAAAATACTTCTGTAGCGTCCATGGGTATTTTATGAGGTATTTCAATAGATGATTGACCAGAACAATCAACAACATTAGTATTCCATAGAGGATCATGGTAACAAGTACAATTTTGTGGGCAAGTCATTTCACAGTCACACGCATCGTAATCACAACAATGACAGATTGCAAAACAATGAGTCTCATACTTACAAAGAAAGTCTGTAGTCTTAAGATTAGTTAAGGGCACATGCGTTCCACTGCGAGTGTTCGTCATTTTACACAAAACATTTTCTAAGTCCATCACACGCGGATACTGCCTCATCGCAGTCATATTATTGATAATTGGCAACCACTCCATTGTACAATCACACTGAAACGGATTACCACCTATATAGAATTCGGGCAAACTTTTGTTTTGGGGCACTGTTGCCAAATGCAAGCTATTTAACTCTAAATGCACAATTTCATTAGCGTACATGTCCACACGCGTTAAATTTTTCTTATCAAAGAATGTATTCACATGTATACTATTTAAAAAGTTATTATTTATAAACAAAAGTTCTACACTATTAGGAATTGCCATTGGAGATATTTCTGCTATACGATTATGACTAACATCTAGAGTCTTTATACGAATTTCTTCTTGTAACTTATAATAATTGCCTAAATGTTCAATAAAATTACCGTGAATGTCTAACCACTTTAAATTGCTAGGCACAAACGCATAGTCGAACCACACTAAATGATTCTCAGAGAGATTCAACCACAGTAAACTCGCGAGCGAAGAAAAGACGCCGTTGATATCCGAAAGGAAGTTCCCGTCAAGCCGTATAGCCTCCAGCTGTGTATTCCGGCTGAAAGTACCTCGTTCTATTGATTGGATTTTATTCTTAGCGATGTTAAGGACCTGTAAGCTTGGTAAGTCCCAAAACATTCCAACGCTGAGATTCCCAATTTGGTTGTCAATCAATCTTAAACCAGTTAATTGGTTTAGGTTTTTAAAGGAGCCATTTCTGAAATCAGATATTTGATTTTCTCCCAAGTCAAGGGTTTTAAGAATAGATAATTCCCATAAAGCGTCCGGAACATCTATTAGTTGATTGGAGCTCAAATCAAGTTCTTTTAAATCCGAACAATTTTTAAAAGCACGCCGGTCTATGTTTACTAGCAAATTATTGTTTAGCGTCAACTTGCTTAAAACAAACAACCCGTTGAATAGATTTTCGTCAATAGTATGAAGTCGATTTTCAGCCAAGTTTAGTGTATGAAGGTTGTAAAGAGGTAAAAAGGCATTGTCTTCTATATAGCCAATTGAGTTATTTTTCAAGTTCAATACTTGTAAGAAAAATAAATCTTTAAATGTCTTTTCACCAATCCTGGTTAAAGCATTGTTGGACAAATTCAGAACAATCAAGCGTATCAATCCCTTAAAAGTGTTGTCATCAATGTGGTTACTTGTGAGTTGGTTGCTTGACAAATCCAAAACTATCAACTCTTCTAATCGATGGAAAACTCCTGGACCCAGTTCAAATAATGAGTTGTCATTAATATACAACTCCCTCAATTCGCGAGCATTAGCAAATAATCCTTCTGGGAGAATTTGTAATTTATTATGTGATATGTTCAGTACTCTTATCATAAGTCCATTGAAAACATCACTTGATATGTCTGTGATATTGTTATGTTGCAAATAAAGATATCGTAAACTTCCCAGTTTGAGTATTTCTGAAGATTCGGGTAGAGTTTTAATCTCGTTGTGGCTTAAATCTAAACTATGGATATTCATTCCACATCCCTGTCCAAAGCCAAGCTGTCCGACTGTTTTTATTCTGTTATTTGTCAAGTTTAATGTAGTCAAGTTTCCCAACGGACAAAACACGCCGGAAGGAATAAATTTGATGTTATTTTGGGCGAGATCCAATGAAACTAATTTCGACAATCCATTGAAAGCATTCAAAGATAATTCCAAATTCTTGGTTGGAATCCACTCGTAATTCTTTGAGCGTAGTTTCAGCCTTTTAAGTTTATTTAATTCTTGAAATGTGTTGTCCGGTACTTGTAGTAGTTTGCAGTTTGTTATCGAAAGATCCGTCAGACCAGAGAGTCGGCTAAAATACCGCGCTCTTAGTGAACTTTCGAAGAGTAGTAAATGATTACACTCAATAGTAAGGCGATTTGTGTCCGTAGTAACTGATGCGATACTGTCACCATCAACGTCAAGAGTCCGTGTTTTACATAGTACACTGCTTTCCAAGTCCCTATCGGCAATCCGAACGCACTTGTCCGAGCCGTAGGGCAGCACCGCAACGGCAACGTGCAGCAGGGCACAAAAAAATGTTGTTAACGAATACATTATCACAGATGTTTCATTTCACTACAAAACGTCTCATAAGCACTCTCCGTGGGTCGATATCACCATTTCCGAAACAAAGTACGTGATACACTCGCGCGCTGAGGAAAAACTTGATACCATTTCACTTCACTGTGGTCCTTTTCGAGCGTTGGCTTAACAGTCCTTGTATAGTAACTGGATGATAGTTACTGAGTTATAATAATGTTTTCGTAATCAGTTTTGTGTTATAAATATTAAGTGCGTGTTGCGGAGTTCGACGCGCGTTAGAGCACGTCCTCTCCGCGGCGCGTTTGCGTTGCGACTGTCAAGCGGAGAGCTTGGCTCGTGGAGGTGGCAGTGGCAGGGCAGGGAGGCGCGACTTACCCCCGCGACCCGCGACCCCCCGAGCTTTCGCTTTGTTCAGTTGTGGCGAGTATCGCCATCTAGCGTCGGGTAGCAGCGTGCGTGCATATAAGATCACATTAAATGCCTGAACTGTTTACGTTTTTTTTTGTTGCAGGTTAGCAGGTAATAACTATGTTAAATAAGTTTAAATGTTTTCTAAATCACATCACACTTTTCATACCTATCATTTTATTACTACTAACCCATTTCATCTGTTGCATATAGATAAATTTACATGATTATGTAATAAATACTCACAATACAGTTATAAATAAATACAGAGATGTCTTTGTTTACATCCGCTTCATGTTTAGTAGAAAAATGTAGGAAACAGAAATACGAGCGTGTTTTAATATTATTCCTTAATTACTTTACGTCTGAAGGAAAGTCTCAGCTCCGCGGGAGGGAAATGGAAAAGTCTTGTAAATGCTTTTAGATGCGGAACACAACTAAGATAGGTTCCAGGCTCTATGTAACTTTGTTAAAGTACATAGAGCCTGGAACCTATCATAGGTTCTCACTCATTCACCATACTTAATTCCTATAATAAGAAAGAAAGAATACCAAGAATGCACTATCTAGGTGAATTCATGTGTTTTCAATCTAGAAATAATTTAAAAACTTAAATTACACGAGCGACTTAATAAATACTGAATGTGCTTACAACCAAATTAATTATTCTAGTTACAAAAAGCGTCATTATAAAATATAATGGGCATAACCAAGTATGTTGTTCTTTTTTCGTGTTCTCTGTGAATTCGTTTGTGAATTTTGTTGTTGCACAATTTGTAAATGTAATTCCCTTCGATAGATAATTCCCAACTTTATTTGGTACTTGTAAGATATTCCTAATAATTAAGTAAAGTTCATTGACCGATCAAATCAAGTAATTGCACAAACGATACCTGACAGATAGGGGAAAAAATAAAATTCTGAATTTTATATCACTTTACTTTTTTGTCTGACGAATTAACAGCATCACTCAAAACACGCGAAACCTCTTTGCTATAAAATTGTTTACCTACCAAAGAAAGTTATCAGTCAGATTAAAATTAAAGCCTAACCCTCTTATTAATAAACAAAAAAGAAGCTTGTATTAGTCACTCCATGTTTTGTCTCTGTTCATTGAATAACAAATGGCATTTAAGGAATATGAAAAAAACTTGACGTAACTTTTCTAAGCTTATTCTTCATTACTTAATAAGGGTGTAAAATGTCCGTACAAAAGATGCAGAAGCTTCAAAACATTATTTGGTCAACCACCGAAACATTGCGACGACCTCCGCGGTCGAGTGGTTTGTATGCCGGGTTTCATGGTGTCGCTCACTCGAGAGGTCCCGGGTTCGAGTCCCGGTGGGGGCAGATGTTTGTGTGATGAATACGAGCATTTGTACTCCAGTCATGGATGTTTCATATGTATTTCTATATAAATATACTTATATATGTACAGTATATGTATTCTATCCGTTACCCTACCATCCCATAACACAAGCCTTACAGTGCTTACTTTGGGGCTAGGCTAATTGGTGTAAGTGTTGGAAATATTTATTTATTTATTATTTCACATCTATTAATCTATCCAATATTATATTATAATTTTATTGTGATAGTTTGTATGGTTCTAGTATACAATAATATAATTTATTTTAAATTAAAGAAAATAAAGTTAACGCAAATTTATATACATATACAGGGCGTCCCACAGGATTCTCACACGGAGGGATAGTATGTTAAATATTGAAGGATATTTTACTGAAAGAAGACATCATTTTATTTTGATCAATAACTAGAACTGCATTCACAGATTTTAATAACATTGCCTGCTACAACTTGGAATAAAACTCGTGAAATTTGAAAAAAAAAACACGACGTATTTTATGATAACCCCCGAAAGGGTTAATTCATAAGCATTATTTTTTCCAAAATAATATAGCATTTTAAAAGGAAGAAATCATATAATTTGCGCAAATTTTAGTTTTTAATATTTACTGTAATAAAAAGTACTCATGTCTTAATGCTGGTTATACCAAATAAATATATGCGTACCAAATTTCATCCAAATCAGAGAGATTGAGTAACAAATATACTACCTCTTGAACGGAAATAGGTGTACACTTGAAATTTTCACTGTATCCATGTTACTATACCACTATCAAGACCTCAATAAAAAGAACCAAAGAGGTGGACATCCTAACTAATGTTATAAACGCGAAAGTGGGTTTGTTTGTTTGTTACTCAATCACGCGAAAACGGCTGAACGGATTTGAAACTTTCCACAGACATAGATTAATTACCTGGATTGAGAAAATTGAATAAATATTACGGTCCAACCAACGAACTTACTAAAAATGGCTAAATACTTAATTTATATGCAGTAGAAGTAGGAGCGAGAGTTATACCAGCAAAATCTCTCTATAACCTTCTAAAAAACCTAGGCCTGTCGACTGCAGTAAGTTCAATTTTGGAACGAGTAACTAACGCTGCACTAACAGGCTCCTATCAAATTTGCCTAGGAAGGCCGTGCAACTTGAGCAGTGAAGGTCAGCGTTGATGCGCTTCTCATATGGGGCCTCCTTAAACCTACACCTGAGTCACAATTCCCGCGAACTGCTCAGTTTCTCTCTTTCCCACACGATGGACCCGGCAACGGCACGGTGAATCCATGGCTTGCTAAGAAGTTCGTCACTCTCTCTAAGATAGTTTATATCCCGGAAAATGTTGGGGTCCTAAGGGATTCTGAAAAAACTAGAGTTAACGAGAGTGAAGTCGCGGGTGGCCGCTAGTTATAATATAAAACGTACACACGACTTGTTTTGAATATTTTACTATTATGTTTGCGAGTACGATTCACACTTGGAAGGTATTTTCAAATTGCTAGAGATGTTCGAAGTCATGACATTTTGAAGCCGCGCAGGTAAAGACGTTCATGATTCAAAGTCAAAATATAATACAAAACATATTTTATGCTTATAGTTATTACCTAACTTTCATTGTCATACTTCGCCTTTGTGAACACCGCAATTTTCTTCTTATGCGTCAAAATTAACACATTGTGATATTTAAAAAAAAACACTAGACTCCAAAGTCGATAACACTGGCGACAGTCGTCTAATCTATTTCCAAACGTAAAAGAGTTCAACCCTCCATTAGTGGTCCATCCGGTATTACGCTAATAAACCCTTCAGGTAGCCAGACGGGTCTTATCTGACCCCGGTATTAACACTTCGCCGAATTTCAATTGTTTTCACAACACAACTTTCTTGTGGTTTATTGTCATAATGAGTCACCCATTCATGGGTCTGGGAACTTTTCAATCCTTATCAGTGTTTTAAGGCGTTAAAATTGAGTTTTTAGGGATTATCCTCACTTTGCGTTGCTAAGCTCTTCACAATAGATAGGTAGTTCTAAGAAAAGGTTAGGTCGCTTTCAATTGCAACATTCGGCTGTGTTTATGCAAGAAACTCAGGTAGGATGGGAAATTTTCTTGCGCTTATCAACTATTGTAATCCTTGGTGGTGCTTTTATTTTATGTAAATATTTCTTTGCGGGTGTAAAGATTGTAAAGATTAAAGCACCCGCAAAGAAGGGTATAGCGAATATTTGTAACTTGTGATATAAAAATATATCAAAACCCCCATCCCTCATTGAAAAAATAAAATGTGTCAATAAAATTAATTATTATGTATTCCAGATAACTACCATAGCACAGCTAATACCATATGACAGAGACATCAAGAAATGTGTTAATATCTGATACATTGTTTTTAATTATGCAGAGTAAAACACGATACGATGGAGTCCATGTTACACTGATTTTGAGTTCAAATTGATTCAAAATCAAGTGAAAATTTCAATAGTACAGTGGCTAGTGCGTTCGTTTTGCGATCACCGTAGTTAACTAACTTAAAGGCTGGTTATGGAATGGGCGACTTAAAAACTCGAGCCCCTTCGTGATTCGAAAGAGACGTTAAGCTGTTGGTCCTGTTTGCAATTGCAGTTTTGGACCCCCGTGGTAGACCATAGCCCATTCTCCCTATGTGGGGACCTACCATTCCCATTATTACCAGTGCCTATATGAATATGCGAATGGCCATGAGCCTCAGAAGGCAAAATTTATAGGCTGATGATGGTAAGCTATATGACTGACGTCAAGAAGAGTAAAACACGATATGTAACATTAATTTTAAGTACACAATACATTCAATGTGATTCAAAATCAAGTGAGACTTTTGATGGCGCAGTGGAGAGCGCGTTCATTTGGCGATCGCAGAAGTTATTTAACTTTTTCAATGGCCGGTTATAGAATGATTGACTTAAGTCAATTTGTAAAATTTGTAAACTCTGACGCTGAAAGAGATTTTAAGCTGTTGGTCCTAATTGCAATTGCAGTTTTGGGCACGCGTAGTAAACCATGGCTCCTTCTCCCTATGTAGGTACTATAAGGCTCCGAAAGGGAGCCTAAGGCAACGTAACTTTGGTACTTCTCTACTATGAAAGATAAGTATGACGTTTTATATAAAACTAAAGTCTTAAAATACTGTAAAAAAAATGCAAACATTGGGAAGGTTAAAAATCTAGCAGTTAAACAGTAAATAGGACAAAAATTTCACAGGTGGGATCATGATAAGCCTTTGAGGAGTGCGGCTCCATCCTCGCAGAGACCACACCGCTGCCATTGACGTTTTATATTGTATTTTAAAGACCAGTACTATCAGTATGTTTTTACTTCTACGCCCGTTTTCATACTGCCATCCATCAAATCAAGACAAAAGGCAACCAAATTCTTTATTTAAAATATAGCTTATAGTTTTAAATATGAATGCCAGCCGTTGGTACTAGACAAGCAAAATGGATGTATCGATGCGGGCGTTACAGTACCCAGCATTCCTATAATTAATGAATGCCTATGT